GGCATCTTGATCCATTTAGGAGTTCTATAACTCCAAAAGTAATGCATCTCTCTATTTAATACTATATCTACCATTTAATTATATTATGCATGACTATTTAATATTTTTTTGCATTGTATATTTGTATATAACACATGTTATAAGATGGTTCAAGCTCTTGTTTGTGCACAAGATTTGCTTCGAGTGAAGGGGATTCCAAGAGTTGATGTAGAGGAAAGCATAAAAGAGTTGGAAGAACTAGAAAAAGGTAGTAAGTACAACTGTACAATATATATTTAATATATATGCTGTTATAGTGTTATTTACAATTGATGTAATTTTGTTTTTTTTTCTTTTTCTATGTAGATTTACCGGCTTCAAATGTGGATGATGATGTTATATATGTTGAGCACATGTTGGGGAATACATATATTTGAACCATGTTGTATTGACGCACATGTTGGAGTTACTGACTTGTTGCACTAGTGTAGAGTTCATATCTAAGTTATAACGTTATGTTTCCATTCAATTTTGAGGATTATTTCATTCTGTTTTTTGGAGTTGGTGCATCAGTATGTTTTGTTTTTTCAAAAGTGATTTTTCATTATTTCATGGTGTACTTTATATGTTTGTATGATATTCTATACATGTAAGATATTTGTCTGGTGTAGTTTTGAACAGATGTGCAGTTTGTTTTTATATGTTTCTTAGTTTCTTAAGTTGCAGGACTACAAACTATAGTCTGTAGGTGTGCTGAGTGAACTACGGAAGTAGGGATATGATGTAGTTTGTATATTTTTGTGGAAAACTAATTGTTAGTTTTGATGATTAAATATTTATATGCTAATATCGATAAATGAATCAAACAATCATTTGTCAGATCCACACATCGGATTATTGTTTGAAACAAAAGTCTATGATGATATGTTTTTTAAACCGGGTCAATTAGGGTCAAAACCAGACCGGGCCGGAAAATTCAGGTCCGGGTCTGTCTGGACCGGTTAGTTTCAGGTCCGGTCTTCGGTCCTTATAAAATTAAGATTTTGGTTCCGGTCCGGTCAGATTTTGGATTGGTGGACAACCCTAGTCTTGAAGGCTATCATAATGTCTCTAGACTTGAATTGACTTATATGTATGTTTTGGCCAACCGCATCAAAATTAGGTTTCGAGGACTCATGCTTGCCCATCTTCACTTCACCGTTCCTTCTAAAGTCATACACAAAACACTTGATTCTCTTGGTCTTCTCCATTTTGCAACTCGCCTAGAAGTCATTTGTCCTATCCAAAGATCCCAAACCAGCTCCTAACGATAATCCTCTCCAAACCTTACACATCTCACTGATCTCATTCAGGCCATGGAGTCTAGGATCACTGCCAAACTATATCAGTTTGCTCTCTCTCTCTCTGACCTCATTGGATACCAAAGGGAAACAAATAAACATTGATCTTTCCACTCTTACTACTGAATTTATCCGCTTTCGTGACTTAGCTGTTGTAACTTCTGCGGACCGATGTTGTTTTAGAAAATATGTTTGCTATTTTTTTTTGGTAATTTATGCGTCGGCTGATACACTCATGGTATTTTGTTATATTTGGTGCGGACACTGTTTTGTTCTATCATGTTTCCAGTTTCCTCCTCTTTTGTTATTGACACAAGGGGGAAGAACATGTCTCCGTTCATGTTTATGTGACTGCTATATGTTCTATTTGGTGTGCCTATATGTGTTCTTATAATTCTATTGTTTATGGTTTTATTGCTTGTCTAGGCATCATATTGTTTGTCATCAACAACAAGGAGAAATTTTTGGAATACATTAATTATATTATTTTGAAGTACATTAATTAACTTATCTTTGTTTCGTTGGTGACAAGCTATTGCTAATAAATCTCATATGTTAAGATTTACTTATAATGAGTGAGACTAAGTTCAAATGGTGAATAAGGAAATCATGCAAGGGACCGAATAAAGGACTAAGGAAAATGTCCTTGTAAAAGATCAACTTCAATATTCTAGAATTAGACAAATAAAGCAAGAATTCGTGCAATAAAGAGACCAATATTGCATACGCTCCTGAGGTCCCATTTAAAGGAAGCATCAACTTTATTAGGAAGGAACTACCAAGAAAGAAAGATGGCATACAAGTCAAGCAAAACTAGAGATCACAACATAAACGACCCCAATATGTGCATGCAAATGTGATACTGAATGATAGTATAAAATTATTATTGTTTATGTTTGTAATTTTAACTAGTTTTATTTGTTGTTGTTTGGGAAATTGCACACTTTTGGTTTAATACTTTATTTTTCCTAATTTTTTGTAATGTGTTTAGATTATGATTTTTATGAGCTTAAACTAGGTAAAGATCATCAAAAGGATCTTGGAAAGGTCAAGGAAAGTGCAAAGGAACAAAATAAAGTGAAGATTTGGGAAAATAGTCAAATACCCGTTCGGGTAAAGCATATACTCGATCGGGTACTGACTTAACCCGAAGATCAAATCTGATTTGGAGGCAATTAAATATGCAGGGAAAAGATTTGGCAAGATTTGTCCTTTACCTGATCGGGTAAATCAATATACCCGATCGGGTAAATGACTCTGCCACCTCCAATCACCCCTTTTCCTACCCATTTGATCACCAATCCACATATACCTCTAAGCTCAGTTTAAACAAGTATTTCCTTTATACTCTCTCTGTCCCTTGAAACTTTTCCAAGTTTAATCGGCACAAGGATTAATAAAGTAAAAACCGTGTGGTTGAGGTTTGTGCAGAGGAGAGAGAATTAACTAGACCACAAATTTTTTACTTAAAATGGAAAGTGGCAAAGTTAGTGGGACATCCAAAAAAAAGTTGGCAAAGTTTTTAGGGACGGATGGAGTATTTTCTAGTATGTTTAGTCTCCAAATGAGGAGCTAAATCCTTCCATCTTGGTTTTGCTACATTGAAGGTTATGATTTGTAAGTTGTGACTTGTGAATAATTTTCTTTAATAACGTTTCTTGAATAATAATTATATTCCTTCTCTATATCCATATTAATATTTGAGCATTACTTAAAGGATGAACTAGTTTTTTTTCATAGATTAATTATAACTAGAATCGATCGATGAATACGCTTGTAAATCGTTCGGTCCTTTCCATGGGAGGTGCAGTTATGAGAACGAGCAGTGGATCCATGGTTTTTGCTCTCCAATTTCCGGTGATAGCTTCATCGTCACTAGAAGCAGAGCCCAAGACAATACTGTATGCGACGAAATGGGCTATTGAGAAAGGTTTTGACGGGTATCCGGTTGAATCCGATTCCAAGTTGGCTATCTCCTTCTTGTTGGGTGCTGAGGTGCGTAAATGGAAGTGTGAAATTCAGGCAACCATACTGCTTTTAGACAACAAAGTGATTTGCTTTAGACATATTTGGCGTCAAAGTAACTGGGTTGCCCATTACCTAGCGCAAGAAGCAACAGACCAATTAAGAATTGTTACCGGCCCAGAGGGTCTCCCTATAACTGCAAAACGGGCCTATTTCATGGATTTCTATGGGCTTCCTTCTTTTAGATTTTATTAACTCAATGTTTATTTTTGTTGTCTGGGTAACTTGGAAGGGTATGCCGTTCTGAAGAGGGTTTGGTCTAGTTCCCCTCTTCTTTCTGTATGTTTTTCTTTGATTTTTAATAAAACCCGTCAAATGTTCCCCGACATTTGCCCCACTGATTTTGGTGGTTTACCTACCGGGTTCAAAAAAAATCGTTTGGCCCTTTCACGGTAGTAAACTTGGATTATTAATGCATGAGTCTCATGGTTAATAATCTAAGAGGAATTAATTATATTGATTAAACCAATAAACCACTTGTGTTGAGGTTATCAATCTCAATCAATTTCATTTTAAGTTTTATTGCTACTATCGGGTCAATATACACATGTTCTATATGGACTTGATAGTAAGTTTTATTAATGAACGTGTCTCGTTATTAATAACTACCCTCGATGAATTTGAGATGCTCCATGATTGAGTATTCGAGAGGAAGATAGTTAAAGATATAACCAGGATCGACGAACCTTTCATTAAGTGAATATAAGCAAAACCAAGTCTCAATCTCTATTTTATTAAACCACGTAAGTCGTTCATCTTAGTGTTAAATTAATTAAATCAAATCAATATTAAAACATCCCTTGTTACTATTTCATTAAAAGAGAAATATTTGTTTCCCCGCGGATACGAACCTTACTACGCTATACTATGGTATTAGTGGGAGTATTGTATTTATTTTTAGGCACAAATCGACTTTAATGTCGTCACTGAACGGGCAAAAATATACTCAGAGAGAAAGGAGAAAAGGAGATGATGGAACCTTAAAGAGACATGCGACAACGACAATTCTATTAGCAGCTCTATAGCTCGTACTTAATTATTCACTTTGCACTTGGGTTGAGAGGAACTTTGGAAAATGTTTTCCTTCTTGAAATGGGGTATGAAATGAGGGCTTTATTGTAAAGCTGAGAGACTTCGTACTCACAAGCTAAAGTTGTAAGAACTCTATCTCGAAAGGTTATAGTTGATGTGACTCATAGGTAAACTAGGTGTGTTTATCTAGTAACTTGTTTAAAGGATTTTAGTGAAAGGTTTTCAAATTCCTCCGAGGGAGGTTGAGGTTTATTATCCCTATTGAGTCAAGAGATTTTTCCTTGTTAAACTCTTGTGTTCTTTAATTTCGGTTTTCCCTTGCATCACACCAGAACTTGGGAAAAGTCTATTATGATAGTACAAACACACAATTTACCCCCCTCTTGTGTGATTCAATCGGTTCATCAGTGTTGTCTCTAAACTCAGTCTCCCCAAAACTGGGATTTACATGCTGTTTAAATAGGAAAAAGTGAAAAAGTGAGCGAATTTGGCCTCGCATAGCCTGCGCATAGTCGTGCGCGCGACCAAGATTTTCGCTTAGTGCGCATGGCATGCGCACCTCCAACACACCATTACAAAAGGCGTTTTGTGAAAGCCACAACTGCAAAAAGGTCAACCGAGGATGTCCAAACAAAAGGGTAGATTAAACAATTCATTTTCTCTGTCTCTTATAACACGTCAACTATTACAATGGTTAACAGTCTAGTGGACCAAATTGTATAAAGTATGAAAGGGATATAGATGGTCTTTATTGGAGCCCTGAAGAAGATGCACCCTCATCTGATTGCCCTTAACAGAAAAAGATTTTTTATTAAAAATCACCATACAATCATTATCCGCACACAATTTATGAATAGACAATAGATTATATTTTAAGTGTGGGACATGATAAACGAAGTTTAAAGAAAGCGGGCGACTAGGCGTAAAAATTTTAAAATTACCAACATAAACAATGGGTAATTTAGTACCATTAGCAACTTGCACTGAATTTGATCCGGTGTAAGGAAGTTTACAAGAAAGAATACCTTCGTGAGGGGTCATATGAGCTGAAGCTCCTGAGTCAGGATACCACATAGATGCATTATGCTCGCCCGTGGGAAGAGCAGCGAGAGCAGGAGTAGAGGTACCCACAAATCTTGGACAAATGAGAGTAGAGTGACCTGGAGAGAAACAGATTTGGCAAACAACTGGCGCAGGAGCATGAGAATAAGTATTGTCCACACATGGAAAACCTGCACTGACACGATTAGTACCACAAGTAGACAGATGATTAAGGTTTGAATAACCAGTCAAGAGTTTACTTAATTAAAACTGTACTTGGAATCACATTCTGTGGCGCACCACGAACCTGCTGTCCGCCATAAAACTGCTGCCCTAGGAACTGCTGACTGTGAGGAGGCAAGAGCAGGAGAGGCGGCTGCTGTCCGCCATAGGCCTGCTGCTGGCCGCCAGGAGCTGGATGCAGCTGACCCCATAGCCACAGCCACGACATCGCCGCCCACGACATCGCCGCCCACGACCGCGCTGACCACCTCGATAACCACGACCCCCCAGGATGACGTCCAGCCCGACCACGAGCTGCACCCCCTCGGTGAGGAGCCGCGACAATGGCCTGGTGGGGTGCCAACGAATCTTGAGCATGCAAAGAAATAGTTTTTTGCGCTTGAGCAACCAAAATAAGATGTAGCTTCTCAAAAATAAGATCCACCAGAATATAGTTAATGAGGGTAAGCAATGATTCGTACCCCGAACCCAAACCAATAATAGTATACTCAAGTAAATCACAGTGGCTAACAGGAGAATTTATGGCATTCAAGGCATCAACCAATAATTTTATTTCCAAGAGATATTGATCAATAGTTTGTGTTTCCTTCTTTTTAATATGGGAAATTTGTCACTTAAGTTCGATAGAACGGGCACGACATGCACGCATAAAATGTGTTTCAAGTGATTCCCATATACGTGCAGAAAATTTGAGGTGATAAACCTCCATTAAAATATCCCTTGACAAAGTTGCAAAAAGCAAGAATCTGACAGTCTGATCAATCTAAGACAGTGATGATACTCGAAATTCGGAACCTCGCGCCCAGAAAAATCATGCGTGAATTGCGGCGGTGTCAAAATTGAGCCGTCTAGAATCCCAAGAAGACTATGGGAGACTAGAAAAGACTCAAATTGGTTTCGTCACGGGATATAATCTTCAACCATATTTAATCGGGTAGTCACAATATTAGTGACATTAGGTGTGGAAGATCCCAATTGAGCTTCGAGAGAAGCCAAAAGAGAAGAATTTGGAGGAAAACCTGGGAGCTGCATGCTGGGCTATTGCTGCAGAGGATAGGCGCCCGGTTGGCCAGAGAAGGTGGAGCCGGAGAAAAGAGGCGGCGGTGAGAGCCGCTGATCCAAGACTGAAGCTCTGCTAGTGGAGAAGATGCCACTGCTGCTGTTTGCGGAGTCCATGAAAAAGGTTCGGGCATGTTGAGTAGACGATACGACGTCAAGGGCGGTGGCAAATTAGAGTGCCCGGTCAAGAGACGTTGCTGAATAACCTACGGCGAGGACAACGTAGGAGAGAGAGGCTGTGTCAAAGCTACAACCGACGGTGCCATGGAGGAAGGAAGCTGCTGAGTTGAAAACGGCGCTGGGATGGAGGTGATGTTCGTCATGTTGGGTGCAGACGAAGACGATGGCGCGGAGAAGTTCGTCGAAGAAGAATCCATCGTTGGAAAAGAAACGGTTGTGTACTAGGTTTAACCTAGGCTGCTCATACCATATGAAATAATAAGAAGGAATAATGGCTCACCCTATTAGGCTGTTCTGGTGGTCTATATATACTAAATATGAAAATAGGAAAATTACAAATATGTCCCAATACTATAGATTATTATAAAGCACATCGATATCAAATAATATTACTTCTTCCATCCCATAAATTTGCTCCCGGTTTGATTTGGATCGGAGTTTAAGAAAGCGCTAATATATTGGAAATGTATGGTTGGAATTGTGGTTGAGTAAAAAAACATAAATGAATATTAGTCACAAAAAACTTTCAAAAAAAGTAAATGAGAAGATTTCTGTGGAACGTCCCAAAATGATAAGTGTGAAAAATTTTAAGAGAGCTAACGAGAGAATGAGTGCTTCTTGAGAAATATCCAATCTAATTAAAGGGATAGATACAATGAGATGGAGTACAGAGGCTCCAAGCCTCTAAACAATGAATAAAAATGCAATATTAAAGTATGCCTTTATTGAGAACGCGTTAAAGCCTTACAAGGGAAGCTATGAGTGTTGTACAATTCCAAATACCAGGTATTATAATGTCCGATATAAAAGTAAATAATTGTAGAGAATTCTATACTTGTATGATGTAGTAAGGCAGCCGAGTATGATGTAGTAAGGCAACCGAAAGTTAGTTCTATGTTTGTAAGGATGTTTTTAGTTGGACTCAAATTTTCTAGTGTGATATGATCTAAAGTGATTTCACAACGTTATAGAAGTCAGATCTAGTACTACTCATGAGTGTACAAAAAAAAAGATGACACCCCATCCCTGAGGGCCCCCCAACCCCGACCGGAACTCATGAGTGTACAAAGCTTAGATCAAGGAAGAATAACTAATTAGGAAGACCGGTTGCAATCAGTCTTGCACTCTTGCAAGTCCAAGATCTGTGTAAGAAAAAGAGTGAGCACGTACATTTCCAATTAGAATCTCCTGGTCTAATCTGGTTCAATAAATATCAGGTCTTTGTATATTTTATAACTTTCCAAGTTTTTTCTATTTAAATCTGGTCTGACCCGATCTGGTATTATTTGAGATGATTAAAAACAGTCCAAAAAACATCCTAAGTATGCCTATTGGGAACAATTTGAATGTATGCTAAAGCCTTTGGAGAAAATAGTTCAATTCTAAAGAATGTGTACATTCAATCCTTATTCGTAAAACAGATTGAGTTCGCCTAATATAGATCGACCTATAGATCAACTATTAAATTGCAGTTGTTATATCATGAGAATAGCCCACGATGAGCATGATACTCCCACACGTAAAACACGCATGAACAGTAACACACGTGGAAAGAAATGTGATTCACGTTGACGAGAAATGTAACTGTAGACTAGTCAAAATGTAACTTGTCCAACATGGAGTATAAGAAATAAGACAATGTTTTCAATGTAAACAATGAAAAAATGAGTCTAATTGCTCAGTTACTTTACGTAAATAGTGAATATGTTTTATTTTTAAAATCAAGACCATAAAAATGTTTTTTAAAAATCATTTTTTTTGTTTTAATTGCATGAGTTTATTTTGTGATATAACTCGTGTTATGGCAAATGTAACTCGCGTTGATGCAAAATGTAACTTGCGTATATCCAGAATGTAACTTGTTGAGGCATGTCCAAATATAACTTGCGCATATATATGAACATGTAACCCACACATAAAAAATGTAACTCACATATAAGAAGATGTATCTCACACATAAAAAGATGTAACTCAAAAGATGTGACTCGCACATATTAAGAAGATGCAACTCGCGCACAAGAAGATGTGAATCGTGGATAAGAAGATGTAACTCGCGCATAGCAAAGTGTGACTCCATGTATAATCAAATGTAGCTTCAGAAATCGTAACTCACACATATGACATATGGAAATGTAACCCGCATAATTGAAAATGTAATCCCATGTTTTATCAAATATAAATTAAAATAAATAAACACAATTGTCTTTCAAACCCACAAAAAAACATAAAAGAGATAAAATATATCATAGAAAAAAGTGTATCTTATAGTGTATGTATATAAAAATTATACAGAAATAAAGATGGTGTCTAAATATGAAATGCAATATATTTATTTATTTTGATTAAATTAGTTTTTGTTATGAATTGTTAAAGAATAAAAAAATAGATCGAATTGTAATTTAATTGAAGAAAAAGAAAAGAAAATTTACTATTTTGATAAACAAGGGAAAAGAATTGTAGATAAAGAAAAGAATTTACAATCTAAGTTAACGATGCCAATTGATTTGTCACAGTTTTAATATTGTACTCCCTACTTGATCTTCATGGACAATATACGATTGATTACTCGAGATACTCAGCTCCCTTTAAAATTTGATCTAGAGAAAATTGTGCAAAATAGGAACCTTAATTTTTGTATCCGTTTTTACCCTCCACCTTACCATCCGCCGCTGCACCTAGGTCTTCTACCATCGACCTGCGACTTCACAAGAGGCACCTCCGCCTCACCTCCTGCAGCCACCAGGGACATCCGCTTCTCATCTCCAGCGGCAGCCTCCGCCTCGCCTCCGCCGTCTGCCAGCGTCTGCGCCGCTGTTGCAGATCCGCCGCCGCTCTATTTGCGGGAATTAGGGCTAGGGAAATTTGCCTTCGTTTTCTTTGTTGCTGCGCACTACGTTCTTCTTCTTCGCCGGAGATATCTCCGATGATGAGATGAGGCATGGCGGAGAAGACCCAGGTGCAGCGGCGGCGGCGCACCAGACCCTTCTTATTCTCCCCTCCTCCTTCCAGAATTTATTGTTTATTTATTGTCTACTTATTGTCTATTTATTGTCTATTTAATGTCTGTTATTTTCTAAAAGTAAGGGTGTTGTGGTCAATGCAGATGTAGTTGAGTCTTACCCTAATTTTCGATCTTAGTTTTGGAAAATCCGTACGTTTTACTCCTATTACTCCTATTTGTTGAAATCTCCCTTTGATCTATCATGTGAACTTTTATGCCCAATTATCATTTGTTACAACTTGAGTTTTGTGGGGTTCCCTTAGAATTTATAATTATATAAAAAAATCTATCCTGGTCCTCTCACATGACGTGTCATTTCTTAGATATTATCCTATATATAGTCCTATCATTTGCCACTGGACTGCAACATAACATAACGTCTCATTCCACCCTTACCTTTCTTCTCAAGAGTCTAACCACGGCTCTTCTCTCTCCCCAAACAATTTCCGCCGTTCAAATCCATTTGTCTCTCTTTAATTTCCTCCATCAAACAAGCTAAGCATGGAGAAAATGAAGCTTCTCTCGGAGAAAGTCACGTGCAACTCACATGGACAAGATTCCTCATACTTCTTGGGATGGGAAGAGTACGAGAAGAATCCTTACGATGAGGTCAACAATCCCAATGGAATGATCCAAATGGGACTCGCAGAGAATCAGGTTAATAATAATTTGTACTTCACAAATTTCTATAAAAAAGTAATATTATTAAAATATGACAACAAAATGAACGTATATTTACAATAATGATACATCCCCGAGATCTATAACTCAAATTAAATGAATAAACCGACTTTGGTCGGTGGTGGGAGTTTATAATATTTATTAATTAATTATCAAAATGGGGTTTACTGGATTTAATTTCTTTGATCGTTTATATATATCTTAACTGACAACAACTTTAATTGATTACATTTTGGTGCAGCTCTCCTTTGATCTTCTTGAATCATGGCTAGCTCAAAACCCAGATGCTGCCGGGCTAAAGAAAGACGGGCAGTCCATTTTCAAACAGCTCGCACTTTTTCAAGATTACCACGGTCTTCCTTCTTTCAAAAATGTAAGTATAGTATACTCCTTGACTATTATTTCTCACCTTTGACTTTACATGCACATTTGTGGGTTGGGACACACATCTATTAGAGTAGTAGCCCAAAAAGTTTGAACCAACCAAGTGATGCTATGTATATTAAGACATATGCTGCTCCTCTTATCACGTTGACTATTCTTTCTCATTTTTGACTTAACACGCATTTAAAGATCAAAGTGTGTTATTGAAGCTTAATTGGATGGAAATATAATGATGAAATATGAATATGATATTATATGATCTTATGGTTGAATTGAAAACGTAAAAATGGGAACTATTCCCGACATGGACGCATGCAGGGGTCATGTCCGGCTGGAACCATTTGAAATTAGTTAAAACCCTTGATTGTGTAGTATATAAAACGTTATATTTCCCGTCACATACTTGCTTAATTATTTTGTGACGGGAAAATAATGTATAAAGATATGCAACATTTACTAGTAAATGTTCTCCATGACTAATAAATAAAGTTTTATGCGTTGTAGGCCTTGGTTAGATTCATGTCAGAAATCCGAGGAAACAAAGTCACATTTGACGCAAACAAGCTTGTCCTCACCGCCGGCGCCACCTCAGCTAACGAGACTCTCATGTTTTGCCTGGCGGATCCCGGCGACGCTTTCCTCCTTCCGACTCCATACTATCCTGGCTTTGATAGAGACTTGAAGTGGAGGACTGGAGCAGAGATCGTGCCAATACAGTGTTGCAGCTCAAACGGCTTTAGAATAACGGAGACGGCGCTTGAAGAAGCTTACCAAGAAGCTGAGAGGAGGAACCTCAAAGTCAAAGGCGTTTTAGTGACGAACCCGTCAAACCCTCTTGGAACAACGTTGACCAGACAAGAGCTCAATTTTCTTCTCACCTTCATCGTCGAGAAGGGCATTCACCTGATCAGCGACGAGATCTATTCCGGCACCGTCTTCGACTCGCCGGGGTTCGTCAGCGTCATGGAGGTTCTCAAGGAGAGGAACTACGTCGACACTGACGTGTCGAACCACGTTCACATTGTGTATAGCCTCTCGAAAGACCTCGGGCTCCCGGGTTTCCGCGTCGGAGCTATTTACTCCAACGACGAAATGGTCGTCTCCGCCGCGACGAAGATGTCGAGCTTCGGGCTGGTTTCGTCTCAGACTCAGTACCTTTTGGCTGCGCTTCTCTCCGACAAAAAGTTCACGAAAAAGTACGTCTCCAAGAACCAGAAAAGGCTGAAGAAAAGGCATGACATGCTCGTCAAAGGTCTTAGGGCCGCCGGAATCGGCTGCCTGGAAAGCAACGCCGGGTTGTTCTGTTGGGTGGATATGAGGCATCTTCTCAGCTCGAACACTTTCGAAGCCGAGATAGAGCTGTGGAAGAAGATCGTTTACGAAGTGGGTCTGAACATTTCGCCCGGTTCTTCGTGCCACTGCACTGAACCGGGCTGGTTCAGGGTTTGCTTCGCTAACATGACAGAAGAGACGCTGAGCGTCGCAATGCAACGAGTCAACGCATTTGTCGACTCATCTTCCGCCGCTGCAGCTGAGGCGGACAGAGGTGTCGACCGTAGTCCAAAGAATTACGGGGGAAAGAATTCGAAGAGGAAGGGGTTTACTAAGTGGGCTTTCCGGCTGTCCTTCAACGACCGCCAGAGAGAGCGTTAGTGCTGCCGGCGGCCGGCCACGGCGGTCAACCTTGACCGCAAATTAAACTTTGATTGGTTCCATGATTTTTCATTTTTATTGTTTTTTTACGTCCGAGCTGAGACGTACATTATCAGGTGTTGTTTTTTACCACCTACACTGGCTGTAGGTGTTGACTGTTACGTTGATGAGTTTTGGACTATCTTTTTAGATTATGCACTCCGTCCACGTTGTTGGACGAGAAGTGGCACCCGGCCAGATGGCGAGACTCAGAAATCCTTCATTTCTTGTGAATAAAAAAGAATCATTTCTTTTTGTCTTGATAGATACTCCTACTATCGTATCTAATCTAAGTGTACTTAAAGTCTAAACAAGTATTAGTATGATAGACTTTTATGCTATTGCGCGACTAGATCATGATGAAATAGCTCAATTAGCTCTTTAAAGTGATGTGCGGCGGATAGCCTATAAATGGAAATGGATCACATTAAGAATGATTAAATGAGATCAATTTTTTAACTAGTGAGACTAAATCGAATGAGCCAAAGCTACTAGAGCACACATAATATCATATTTTATCTGATTAGGTCGGAACAAGTGGGAACGATTGAGACCAAATTTTAACGGACTAAACTAGATTTAAAGAGATCAAACTATATTCATGATCATTTCCATCATTTGCAATGGAGCCAAATGCACTATTTTTTTGCCTTCAAAATATGATGGAATAAAGCAATTCTCTTACCCCATCGTAGGTGACAACCTTTGTGACACTGAGGTAATGATGATAATGATGAAACTATATTCAGGGTCGTCTAATGAGTTTGGAGGCTCCAGTTTCAAATGTAAAAATTAAATGAGGCCACACATTAATATAAAAAATAAAAAAAACTCAATATTTAATTTATACTCAAATCAATTGAATACTCATTAAATAATGTATTAACTTTGTTTAAAACTTACTTAATACGGAGTAGTTGATTTAAAATAACACAACTCATTATTCAAACAACTTGAATAAAAGAGAACTAAAAGGAGCAATCATTTTGAATTTATGTTTTGCTTCCTTACAAACTGCATTTTAATATATAATATATATTACTAATAATGTTAATACTAATAATGTTCTGAATACCTAATTAACCCCTAAAAACGCCCCAATTAGAAATGTCTTGACCCAATTAGTCAGATCTTTGATTACTAAGTGGATATGATTTGATCTGAACGTACCATTTAAGAATGAACTTATCTGGTTTGAACTGTTTAAGTTTGGTGTGATATGATCTTTGAATCTATGTCTTTCACTTTGTCCACTTTTGGTACTTGACTAATGTTTTTAACCGTTTGTGGACCTTTTTTGGCGATTTTAATCATCATAAACAATGCCCGGAAGGACCATATATGGACGAAAACACAATAGTCATGTATCAAAAGTGGAAAAAGTGAAAGATGTAGACTAAATGTGAAAATGACCTAAAACTCGTAGGACCAAAAAGTGGAATTTATTCTACGATCTTTTTTCATACATATATAATAGAGAGGACATCCATTAATATACTATGCAAAGGAGAAAATGCCATTTTTTAGCGTGAGACAAATAATAGGAAGTTAATAAATCAAGGCAAATCGCACTTTTGATCTCTCAATTATTCACCATAATGAAATTTCAGACTCGTATTTCTGATATTGTAAATGTTATCTCTGAATTGACAATACCATTGATGAGAGATGAAAAGTGCAATTTGTACCATGTGTTTGGTGAAAGTTGGATTAATTTATTACTCGTCCATGATATTCAATTAGTGTTTATTGTTTATTGATATACTACGTATAGTACTAAACAATTTCACACTTTTCACAATAAGATTTTAGTTCTCCTACGAGCAATTCGAAAACGATATTCGCATTCCGTTTTATATGGAGTTGAATAATTCCTCAATTATACTGTGGGTATATAGAGAATTCCTCAATTATAATTCCTATTTTTTTTTAATGTCAAACTATAATATGTTGGGAACTAGAAGTGTAATTAAAGGGTATGTACCTTATTTATTGGAATTTCATTATGTTAAAAGGTTTAACTTCTTCATGCGAAAAGAATTGCTTTCATTGCGTGCTTAGAGATGGGGGTAAAGTTGATAAACAATGTAACGATTAAATTTACAATAAAAGTGCATGTAACAATTACAAACATTTCAGTCTTTACTTACTCAGTGTTTGTGTTTGGTAATATTATCTTTTCAACGGTAGCAAATTTGATTATTCTATTTGCAGCTAAGGCTTGTACTTTTCTCTGGAAAACGGCAATATACAAGCTAATGAAAAACGGCAATATTTGATTAAGGTCATTTTGTAGCTTGACTCTTGATGGACTTTGTGAAATAATTTGAAAAATGTGGAAGTTTAAAAAAGAATGAAATACCAATTCATGATTTTATTTGTTACCAAATTAACCGCACATATACCACTTTTTGAGCAAGTCTAACTTGTACATTACTTTGTGCATTTAGTGTCTATATTTTCGGTTGACATGTCATAAATCTGTAATGAAAAAATACCTAATTTATTTTAATATGCAATCTGATTAAATAATAATAATAATAATAATTTTATGCAAATTCTTTATGTGGAGTTAATTAAACACAATCATGATTATTACTCACTAAGGTTACTGTGGTAGTCACTAAAGTATACTAGTATAAGGTAATAATTTTATTCAGATATTTATCATTATTTCCAGATTTAATACATTTAATCATAAAATTCAGGACCTACTCTTTTGGAGCTAACATATCATAAAAACACTAAACTAGAAATACACAAACCAAATATGATTAGATTAAACTAGATGAGACCAATCAACACTATACATATAGTACTCCGTATTTCATTATATATATTTAGGGAGAATTTGACTTTGCATCCCAGTCTTGGATGATACGTAGAATTTGATTTTGCACTCCCATTTTAAAATATTAATATATTTAGTCTAATCTATTATAAAATCATTTGACTTTGAACTCAAATCATTCATACTTTTTGGGCTGATGATGATGTGCAACAATAATGATGTTGAAAATAGATTGCAAAGTTTAATATCACCCAAAACATGAAGTGTAAAATCAAATTATCCTTATATTTTCTTAAACGAAGTATTACTTCTACTTTTAATACAAACACGGCTAGTTAACCCACTACTTTTATTTCAGTTATATATTTGTCATTATTTGTTGTTTTTCATTTTTGTGTATTTATATTGAAAAATATTATATGTGTAGTAATTTCCAAAATATAGTTGTTGCGGTCACAAATAATTTTACTATTAGTATTTGCTTTAAATTGCTCCACACCATATCCATTATTATTACCATACTACGTATTATTATTATTATTATTATGACTATCATCATATACATATATATAGTAATATTGATTTAGCTTAGGATCATAAGAACAGGGCCGTCTCAAGTATATAAGGTCCCTGTGCGGATTACAAAAAATAGGCCTTATATAATATCAACGGTCCACTTTTCACGTTTAAATACAAAGATCCCTGCTCCGTTCTTTTTTAAATGAAAAGGTCCACTTTTGACATTTGCCAATGCACAAGTTTGACTATTAATATCTTTCATATTTTATTAGTAAAAAAATAGGTTTTGAGACTTTAAAATGAGAGAAATTTAAAGTAGAGTTAAAATTTAATACTAGATAATCTTAGGTTTTGAGATTTTAAAATTTAATTCATAATACATTATTATATAAAATAGAGTTAAAGTAGAACACATGAATAGTGGAAAAAGTCCAATGTTACATTTAAAAAAGAATAGAGGAAGAACTAGTCATGGACAAAACGTTTGAAAAATGTTGTCATACATTGATATTGTATCTTAATAATCTGGAGTATCATAATACTAGATAATCTTACAAGTTGAAGAGCTTATACAAAAAAAGTTCTATAGGTAATCATGTAAGAAGAATGAAGATGAAGAGCATAAGATTGTAAGAAAATAACTGAAAGGACCGATTGTGTTTCTTGATTGATTGGAAAAGCTTGGCCAGAAGCTCTATAGAGTGAAAATTTAGCCGTTTCCCAACCCTAGAATACTATAAGCCGATAGAATTGTAGCAAAGCCCACTTTATTTTCATTTATTGTGGGATTTGTGGGTTTGATGCTTGAGAGATGGAAATTTGGGCTTTCAAGCTTTGATACACGTACATAAGGACCTTTGAGTTCTTTTTTATTACTATTCCATACTATTTTTTTGTTGGGCTCTTGAATTTTTATTAAATATACATATACACTACTGGTTTTTTAAAAAATTATGGGCCTTATTTATTTGTAGGCCTAGTGCAGAAGCACTTCTTGCACAGCCCAATAGACGGCCCTGCATAAGAATAATATTTAATGTGAGAACGTGATAATACTCACATTTACCTCAATATGATGCACAATAAGAATTGCGCGTTGCACCATTTTGCGTGAAACATATTTACCAAAATGTCACTACAATTATTTAATATTGGCATAGTTTAGGCAAAGTAAAACATGCAACGGACGATCTCAATTGTGCATCACATTATGTTAATTATTAAGTGCATGTGTTTTCACTTTCTTACATTAAGTACAATTTTCAGTCGAATTGCGCCCTATTAATTAATTAATTATATATGTGTATATGTATATATGTATATATACATATATATATATATGTATGTATATATAGGTTTTGGTTCAAATAAGAACATGATCTTAGGAGAGAAATGAGAATGAATCTGGACCGTTAGATTTGCTTTAAGCGAAATCCGATGTGCATTAGATGAAATAGTAATGTGCATTAAGTGGAATTGAAATGTGCAGCACAAGCTGTACAATACAGTGGCATTATGTGAAACTGAATTGTGCATTATGTGAAATTGAAATGTGCATCATGTGAAACTGGAATGTGCAGAATAAAAGGTACGATGTGAGATTATTTTTTTACCTTTTATTTCACACATTTCAGTTTCATCTAATGCACATTTAAGTCTAAATTTTTATTCTACACATTTCAATATCATCTAATGCACATTTCGGTTTTATCGAATGCACAATTCAGTTCCACACAATCCAATCTAACGGTCCATATCCGTTCTCATTTCTCTCCTAAGATTCTTTCTTACCGGAACCGCTCCATATATATATATATATATATATATATATATATATATATATATATATATATATATATATATATTACATTGTATTTCCCTGACTCACTCTTGTCCATA